ATTCATAACTTCATTTGGTCACAAATTATGCAGGTAAAGTAAACGTATTGAGGGACATACCACAAGGAGGTGATACCATATATATATTTGCATAATGCCTGTCGGAAGTTTACAATAGTGTATATATTTTTTTCACAAATATATCTTTACATTTTTGTCCCCCCCTCTTTTCCCACCCCTGCTCCCTCTTCTGCTGTTTGACTTCGGGCGAAGTGGGCATTTCCACTTCTTGTGACCCTCCCTTCTGCACAAATGACATATTATATCCAAAGAAGAAAGAAAAATATTAATTTTGTTAAAAGATTTTATTATTATTTTCATTCAGAAAGTATCGTTCAATAAAGTACTATCGCTTATTCGACTGTAAGATATTGTATTTAATTTGAATACTAAGTACAAGACAATTTTCACTGCAAGTTGTTGCCAAAAAAAATTTATTGCTTCAAAATCGCAGTAATTGTTTTCCCATGCACGCAGTGGCGGGGCAAGGGGGGGGGGGAAATGCCCCCTCCCCCAATTATTTTTTGTACCCCCCATTTTGCCCCCCCCCCTAAAAAAAATTATTAGTGACAGAGCGACTAAGGGCTACACAATCGTTTTGGAAAATGTATGGCTTAGTAAGTTGTCATTACTCATTAGTGAATGCACCTTACATGAAACTGTCTTTTACAGTTTCAATATTAGTTTGTAAATCTCTGAATGGTAATACTTGCCAATACTCCAATAATTCGTTTCAAAAAAGCTTTAATTTTGCAAAGTTAAATTCTCAAACGTGTAAAGGCCCACACAGACTGGACACGATTCGGCAACGCAACACGAATTTTCAGTTTTCAAAAACAAATAAAACCGTCAACGGATAAAAATTTTACAAGGTATGAAGACCAAATAGCTAAAATTGCTAAGTGGTCCCGAATATTTGAAAAACAATGGAAACTGTTAACGTTAAATGTCACTGAAAACTGAAAATTCGCGTCGCATTGCCAAATAGCGTCCGGTCTGTATGGGCCTTAAGGCACTACTAATACGATGAAGGTATCACAAAATTATTTGAATAAACCACATCACATATATGGGGGGGGGGCGATATTCCTGGGGCATTCGCCCCTCTGGGGGGGGAGATATTCCTAGGTTATTCGTACCCGGGGGCGGTATTGCTAGGAATATCGCGCCCTTTTGAGTTGGGGGGGCGAATCTCCTGGGGGGGACAAAAGTCCTATCACAACGGCATGGGCAAAAAGCAGTACCTTTTTGAAAATTCTATCTTGCCCCCCAAAATATGAGTTTGCCCCTCAAATTCCCCCCCCCCCAAATTATGAGGCCTGGTGCCGCCATTGCATGCACGTTTGGTGTATGTATAAGAAAGGTATATTTATTTTACCCTCCATTGAATTTCTCCCCTCGGGCATCGTTTGCTCTTCATCAATTGTCGCGTTGGTGTTGGAATCACCTAAAGTTAAAGCGATATGTTCATAATTGTTGAATATTCTAGCACATTTCTGTTTATTTTTCATTTATACTAAGTTATCAATGAACCTGCGAAATAAAAAAATATTTGCTTGGATCAATAATTTAGTTGCGTGCATGCGATCTATGGCTTAAGTGCTGTTTCTGGACGGGGTGTTTACCGGAAAGGGAATTCCTTAGTGTATCTACATTTTTCTGTTTGGCGCAGACAATGAGACGTTTATACCCAAATCTATATCCCACTTTATAATATTTTGACCGTTTTTAAACTTATACGAAAAATTTTGTGAAAGATGTGGGATGTGGTTGCATGTGATGAGTTTGGATAGGCTTTTGTTGTGCCTGTATTTAATTATAATGCAGCCAAAAATTAGCTAAATGCCAGAAATGTATACGTTCGAAAATCAGGTTTAATTACATCTTTAAACTTTAACAATTCGTTGAATATCACACAGACGCGGTTACCTTGTCGCGACTCCATCCAGCTTTGAAAAGCGATGAACACTGTAAAGAGTTGTAACAGAAATTAATGACGTCGGCCGGAGGACAGCAAATAATTTAGGAATAACTTGATAGCATATGGTCAGTTGCTGCTGATGGTACGAGAGCCCGCTGGTTACCCACAGTCGTAGTTTCAGCCATTTGATTCTCCTCCACCTCTAATAAAATTGAAAATAAAAGTGTAATCACAAAATAGTTTTACAAACATGTTAACTATTTTTTATTAGTTAAATGCAATGTAACAATTTCTACTTACCATGTTCTGCATCTTGTCCATGCATATTTATGATTTCATTTTTTCTCAGTTTTAAATACTGGTTTTGTCCGTTCAAATGTCCCTAAAGCAGCTTTGGGCAAGTATGTTTAACCTGGCTCACTATCTTCAGATTTAACCATGCGTGTAGCTCTACTATGAATACCATATACGTCATGAACATCTGCTTATAATAATTGGACTTGAGTGGGTTATAATTAACATAGGCGTTACTATATTCGTTTAATTTCTTTTTATTTATATATTTTTTTGTGTTAACATTTAATATGCATGCACACCGTCTTTTAACAAGAAATGCGGTTTATACATCTAAAGGTACTCTAACCCTTCAATGCGAAAACACATGTTTTGTTTAATTAAAAATAACCATATTGTTGACATTGTCATAGTGCTAGATAGAAATAAGGGATGACAGATAAATGCATGAGTCCACTCCTTTAATATATGCAGTACATTGAGTAGAGTACAGTATAATAGCTTTTGCTCCACTTCATAGAGCTTCTGTGTTTATTAATTCTTTTTATCTACATCAAGTTTTGAGTTCTAATTCGGGATCATGGTATGTATAGCAAAACAGAATTTGTATGTTTGTTGTTCATGAATGGGGCGTTGGTACACGCTATTAAGTGTAGAAATGTTCATGCACATGTGATTGCTATAATATAGGTTTTCACGAAAACGACGCGTTCGTACAAATTTAAAGATAGTTTAGAGGATATAATTTCTGCCATGATTGCATGTGACGGGGATGTGAATGAAGGTTGGCGAAAATCTGACTGATTCTGGGGAAATGTGGCTGTAAAGTGCGGGCATTGCAATACCGATTATCTTCGCAAGGCCATATATATGTTTTGGTACAAGGATACGGACAACATTAGAGAAAAGTTTAACAACCGCGTTGCATCTGAAGTTGTGGATAATCTTAATGAAGTAAGTACAGTAATTTATGATAGTTGAGATTATTTTAAAAAATACTCCCTTTTATGATCCACTAAAGGTTCAAACACACCAGACGCGGTTCGACAACGCGACGAGATTTTCTAGTTTTGAAAGTTAATAAAACAGCCAATGAGTGCAAATTTCAAAAGATATGTAGACCAAATAACTCAAAATGTGTTATAGCGCTTCTAAATATTTGGAAAATTTAAACTAGAATGAAAGTTGTCGGTCAGTGAAAATCGAAAAATGGTATCGCGTTGTCGAGTCGCGTCTGGACCTTAAAACTCCGCGTGCGAAAAACACAATGTCACTGTGACACGCGAGTCAGTCGAATGTCAAAATTATTTCGCATGCAAAAAGATAAGTGATTACATTATGATAACGAAAACAATAACTCGGACTAGGTGTCAGACCAGAATCGGGTTAAAAATCAAACCGTGACCATTAATTAAACTTTTTCAAATTGCATATTACGCATTAGTCAACTTATATATCAGCGAAAGTATTGGAAGTTTGTACAACAATTTGATTACGATATAGATTTTAATAGATATATTTAATTAATAGTGGAATTTCTCGTCAGGACAAAGCACCTAACTTTGAGTATTGAGTCTGTTGTTAGTGAAGCTTAATATTATAAAGACAGTCATGCATTTGTAATACGAGCGTCACAAATAAATGACTGGGTAAAGAACGCAACACAGAGGATGGGAAAGGGGGGTGTGGATCACGTTTCACAACGAAAAAAAAAACTGTTTCACGATTCACATGTCTTAAAAATGCAATTTCACGAAAAACTAGATTCTAATAAAATAATATAATAATAGGTCTGTTTAGAGTATGTTTAATGCATGGTACAACCTGTCAGTTAAAAACTACATCATAACTTAGAAGTTTGAGTGACGAGTATGTCCGACAGGCCTCCAAAGCTTTTACTCTTGTGCAATCGAGTGAGATCATATAAATTGATTATCGCGTATCATGTCTATTATGAATATTATAAAATAGATCGAAATAAACAAAGCAAAATCGCAGTTCATGAAACAGACATCCTTAATTCTCATTTCACGGAGCATTTTTATCGACAATCACGCCTCACGGCTGTAGAACAAATCACATTTCACGACACTAAAATCAAGCATTTCACATTTCACGCGAACAAATATTGACTATTCACGGCTCACGAAAATACCCTTTCCCACCCTCAACACAGTTTTAGAACTGTATATCTTTCGCATTATAAATAGATTTCCTATTATAGCTTTAGAACTCAATTTCCTTTTACGACCTTAGTTGAAAAACAAAGATGATACTGATTGCTGAAATTCGTGCTGTAACAATTACGGCTTGACTGGTTCAATCAACAACACCGGATACCACTTACATATGGCGCCAAAATAATTAGCACTATCCTGTTACAGTCAAAACGGATGTTCTCTTGCAAGCAATTTTGATAGGCAGATTGAGCAACTTGCAACCGATGCAAACAAATTGCAAGTTGATATTCAAAAAAGATTTGTAAACAAAGGTTCTGACGGGACCAGTGGCGGCGCCAGGCCTCAGAATTGGGGCATTTGAGGCAAACTCATATTCTTTGGGGCCCAAGATAGAATTTTTAAAAAGGTACTGCTTTTTGCCCATGCCGTTGTCACAGGAATTTTGTCCCCCCCTCCAGGAGATTCACCCCCTCCCAAAGGGGGGCGATATTCCTAGGAATACCGCCCCTGGGGGACGAATAACCTTGGAAAATCGCCCCCCCCTCCTTAGGATATTCGCCCCCCACCATATATGCGATGTGGTTTATTCAAATAATCTTGTGATACTTTCATCTTATTAGTGCCTTAAGGCCCATACAGACTTGACGCTATTTGGCAACGCGACGCAAATTTTCAGTTGCCGAATTGCATCCGGTCTGTGTGCGCCTTTATACGTTTGAGAATTTAACTTTGCAAAACTAAAGCTTTTTTGTCTATTTTGAAACATATTATTGGAGTATTGGCACGTTTTACCATTCAGAAATTTACAAACTAATATTGAAACTGTAGAAGACAGTTTCATGTATATGCATATTCACTAATGAGTAATCACAACTTACAAGCCATACAAAATGGGGGGGCAAAAAAAAATTTTGGTGGGGCATTTTCCCCCCTTGCCCCTGTCCCTGGCGCCGCCACTGGACGGGACTAGAGTGTATCTAAAAGTCGAGAGTAAAAGTCAAGAGTAAAAGTCGAGAGTCGAGTGTAAAAGTCAAGAGTAAAAAAGTTTTAAAAAATCCTATAGAATAGCAGCTGAGAAATTTATAGTTTAAAATGCTATTCTTGACACTCAGACAGTGTGTGCGCACTATGTATAGGGGTATGGTGGCCCATCGTTCTCATCGTATATTCAACATAAATATATATAAATAAACAAAAAAAAGAAGAATTTATGAAATTAAAAAAACATAATAAAATATAAAATAAAAAATATTTTAAAAAATTCATAAAATTAAAAAAAACATAATAAAATATAAAATAAAAAATATTTTAAAAAATTTATGAAATTAAAAAAAAACATAATAAAAATAAAAAATATTTTAAAAAATTTATGAAATTAAAAAAAACATAATAAAAATATAAAATAAAAAATATTTTAAAAAATTTATGAAATTAAAAAAAACATAATAAAAATATAAAATAAAAAATATTTTAAAAAATTTATGAAATTAAAAAAAACATAATAAAAATATAAAATAAAAAAACAAAAAAAAGTATTTATTAAATTAAAAAAAAACATAATAAAAATATAAAATTAAAAAAAAAATTGTTGAAGAATTAAAATTAAAAATGAAAACCAACATGCGATTTTCATTTCAAAATGAAAATGAAATTCAACTTTCAAATTGTGAAAAAAGCCCAACGTTCTCATTTGATTTAGAAAAAGCAAGTTATATACGACTTTCGTTTCAAAAATCAAATGTTGTTAAAAAGCCCATCGTTCTCATAGACCATGATGCACCTCGGCCAGTGGTAGCTGAGTGACCGAGCCTTCATATTGTGTTTCTTTACGTAATTCATTCAAAATGGCGGAAAGAATTGTGAATGCTGAATGGCAAAATGACGATGGACTTCGAGATGATCTCAGGAACTATGTTCTCCAAAATTTTAAGAGAAAAGAGATTCTAGATTTCATGACAAGGGACTATTGCCAATACGCTTGGAGCCTAGGCACTTTAAGTAGAAGATTGAAATATTTTGAAATAAAGTATGTTGACTATGATGTGAGTGTGGAGGAAGTAGAGGAAGCTGTGCGCGAAGCTCAAGATGGTCCAGGTCAGCTCTTAGGCTACCGTTCGTTGCATAAGAAAGTGCGTGAAGGTCATGGTCTTCCAGTGCCCAGGGGGCTTGTATACGATGTCATGACCAATATTGATCCTGAAGGACTTGAGCGCCGTGGTGGGGTTGGCACACGAAAACGAAGAAGAGGCCCTACTGGAACATTTACTTCTTTGGTAGACTTGTATATTGTGTCATTTTGTAGTCAAATTAAAAGATACAGGCACAATATCTTACAGTAATTTAGTGTGATGGAATTTGCCGAACCTTTTATATCCACTATTGGCTATTGCATGGCCTTGTCATCCAAAACGACCCCTACCCCAATTATGCCCCATGTATCCGAAAAGGAGGATGGGGTTATGATGAGAAGTGCGTTTTATAATAAGTATCCAAATCTCAACCCCAAGGTTTATCACTCCCATGGGCTAAATTTATGTGTTTAAAATGCCTTGCCTAAGGCCAAGTAAGAATTCGCATAGCGATTCACTGCTCTATTTACAACGTCAAAGGACAAGAGGAAAGCAGCACCAAGTACAGTATGCTCCTTCCCCATCCCATGCACAAACAATGTAAAAAATCAACCATTTGCAAATTTGGTATATATTTGTTCACCAGTCTAAATCTGTATTTACACACACTTTTGACAAAAAATTGAAAGGTCAAATTCTCCATTCCCTGGCAAACTTGAAACTCCTGAGTATCTACTAGAGAGTCAAATTCATGGTTATGTGAAGTGATAAGTGGAGTTGTGAAGTTTTTTAATTTGCGTATTATCTTGTTTTTAGGGACCAAATCATACACATTCAGGTGATGGTCATGACAAATTAATGGGGTTCATGAGAGACACATTCCCACTTGCTTTATTTGGAATGCAAGATGTTTTTAGTTGTCGAATCCTATATTTGAAGTTATGGACCTCAAATTCAAACCCAAATTGATTGGGCGGTGTGGTACGTTGAACATCTTATAACAACAAAAAGTATGTATTATATATTTAGTGCATTAAATAATATATATATTCTGGTGTATGGTTAGCACATTGAACTACTTAAAAATACCACAATATGCCAAACGGTTTTAAAATGTTTATGGTTTTGTCTGCTTTAGATTGACCACTTGAAGAGCATCTGATTAATTTAACAATTGTTTTCTTCTGTTAAGCATTAAGTCAACATTTAAGACTGGATAAGGGATCAGAAATGGGATCAATAGCAACTATTCATGGATTCCTTAGAACATTTCACCCAGAAATTGGAAATCCAGAAGATGGAGTAAAATTTGGCCCATCAACAAGCAATAAGGTAAAGCATATTTAAAAATACTGTACATGTAGCCAAAATAATATTATAATTCTAGGAAACATGTATGCATTTACAATAATGTATAACATTACATTCATTTTAATGCTCTCAACAGATTGAGAGATGGTGGCGTGATTTACATCACAGATTTGAGAAGTATTTCAAAAGGCAATTGAATATGTTGTTAGAACAAGGCTTCTATGATCAACATAATCAAACTGACAGGTACAGTTGCAACACTTTCTCAAATATGGTACCCCACCCTAGTTCCACACGAAATCAACTACAACACAACTTTGAGAATTCATACTGATTACTGACGCTTGTAATTGTCAGCATGCAATTCCTTCAGATGTTTAAATGCAATACTGTAGCAAAAACATGTGTCAATATGACAGCTGCCATTATCTCTCACTGGCATAGTGGCATTACTACCAGTATAAATAATTAACGATTAAATCACTAAGTTGTATAGTACTGTTGCACTACCCTGTATGTACATTTAAAACACTAAAAAATATTTTTCTCTTTTATAAGGGACTTGTTGGCATTCATATTTATTCCAATTATTCAAAAGGAAATAGATGTTTTCTACAAATGTACATGGAACACCCACAGGATAAGACAGCAAAAGGATGCACAAATGCCAAAGGGAATTCCTGATCATGTTTTTAATTTTCCTGAGAACTATGGTCATGAACAATGTGGTAAGCCAAGGACAAATACAGTGCTAAACCATATTTTTTACACCTACTGTATGCAGTTCACAATTATGGTAAAGTTAAATTGGTAAATGGCTAATTGACATTTGAAAGTATATAATGTGCACATCTTGCTGTAATGGATCTATGTAATTGGCCAAGTAATTGTAATGGGAGAATTCACTAGATTGAAAGCTTTCTTAACATTTTCATACAATTTAAATATTTTTCAAATACGTAAAGACTTAAAATTCATGTGAAAAGGTTCTGTAAATGCTTTTAAGGATTTAAATGGCCTATACAAACCAGGTCTGTGGTTGACATTTTGATAACATATTTTTTAACAAAATAGGTACTGATAGGAAGATTCTAAAAATTCAAAGCTTCAGCAACATGGACTAGCAAACAGTGACCTTATATTGGTACATTACAGGTCTGCCCATTACAGATGAAGCACTTGACGAAGTTAGAGAACTATCAGGAGTAATGGATGTAGGAGAAGACTTTCTTGACGCTGATGTTCGTAGGGAGTGTGAACAAATTATCCCAGAAATTGATCAAGTTAAACCAGCTGATGCAGCAGATACATATTTGTTTCTGAAACATAATTATGGACAATCAGAGAATATGTGACTACCATAACTGTATCGTGGATAGTACCAACTATTCTATTTAACTTCATAAAAACCCTTGCAATATAAATATTTGAAGATACAAACTTGACACACTGCAATACATGTATATCTAGAGATGAGCCGGATACCAGCATCTAGCAAAATAGACATCCATTATCGGAGAAAATGTTCTGGATAGTTATTGAACTTCTTTCCCCTCACTTGTCTCTGCTGAACTGTTATCTGGTATGCCAGCAAATCAGTATCCGGCACATCCCTAGATGTATCCGTACAGAATAAATAATTTTATACTGTATGATATGTATATACCTTTTTAAATCCTTATGTACAAAGGTGCAAAACTATATGTTCGTCCCACTTTGATTAACTTAAATGCCAAAATCAAGTACACAGTATGTTATGTGTCATATAAAGTACACAGTTTCCACATAAAACATTCAGTTCACTCTTCAATATGAAATGTACGTAAAGTTTCTCACTGCTTTAAATCCAACATCTCGCAATACTTGTTGCAAACATGATTTTTCATAAATGTGTCAATAGCCACACTTGCCAGGTTCCCACAGCAGAAATATATTTCCACTTCTTCATCTTCTGCATCATAGAGGTCTTTGGTGGCAATTTCTGGGTCATACAAGTGATATCTGGAACCCTGGATATCAACTAGGAGCATCTTGTTATCTGTGGTAATATAGCTGAAGTGAACAAGAGCTTGGGCCTTCTCCTGGATGGTTTTGATTTCAATTTCACAATCGGGGCCAAGATCAACACAGTTTCCATTATTGTTAATATGCTTAACAAATTTACCTTCAACAAAATCTTCTATTGTTGCAGGTCGACCATGAAGCTGGGTATAGTAGATGTTATTGTATGTGAAACACCTTCCAAATTCTTCTGGGACCTTTGAAGAAAATTTCCTTGCAATGACATGTGCAACAGAATTCATCTGTACTTGTTTTCTTGTGTGGTTTTCAACACTTGTCTTCAGTGTATCACTGATGATCTTCAATGCATTTAGGTTGTATTTTTTTACAACCCATTTTTTCTTACTGGAGCCTTTTTCAACAGCTAAAAAGGCATCTCTAAAGCCACCAGAAGAGAACTTCTCATCATCGACCATTGCTGTGATATTCATTCCTGGCTCCCACTGCCGAGTTTCCATGTTGAACTTCTCTACTTCAAATGATATCAGTTTTCTTGCTTTTGGTCTAACCAAACGACCAGCTCTGAGCAATTCCTCCACAGATATCGAATCTGGGTATGTAATCTCTACACTTGGCTTGACAGACTGAACTGGGGCTGATAGATTGTGCTTCCTAATTCTTTGTTGGTGTTCAGTATTTAACTCATCGTCATCATCACCAGCATCATCACCAGCATCATCTTCATCATGGTCTTGCAACAATGCAAATCGCAGAAGGTATACCTAGCAAATACGAAAAGGCATGTTATTACTGTGCACAAATGCATGCACAAGCAGGCGCGTAGCCAGCCCCAATTGGTTATTTGTAAAAGTATGCCATTGATGTGAATTACCTATGGGCCAAGTAACCCCACAGATTTCCCATAGGATTAATAGCAATGTGTTTGTTTCCATAGCTTTTCCATATCTCAATATTTAACAATAATTTCAATAATTAATAGCAATGTGTTTGTTTCCATAGGTTTTCCATATCTCAATATTTAACAAATTTAGACATCATACCAATCCCACATGATATCTATATTGTCCCATATCATGCCACATATGGGTCATATATGGCCCAAACATTGCCATACTTTTTCTGTACAGGTAAGGGCATTTTGAAAGGCAATTTGCGGTGACAAAACTAAAAGCTATTTACTTCTGTACTCAAAGCACTGAAAAGCATCACAAAGAGAAAAACATTTTAAACATATATCAGGTAAGACTTTTAGCTCAATATTCTCATGCTTCTATTGGGAAAGCAACAGGTTTTTAGCCAAAATTATTTTGTGCGCCATTGCAGGCTGCTATAAAATGTCAGACAGGCGGTTTCTTTTAAAGTCTGGCTCTGAAAAACAATCGCCTTTTTCGAGTTTGAAATAACCCTTCATAAGGACTATTGTGTAGAAATGTTATCTATATGCTCACATGAAAAAGATAACCTAATATTCAGGTGTTCCACATAGCTATAAAAGGGTGAGATAAGAACTTTCATCTTTGGTTGTTTGTCAGACGTGAGAAACCGACCAATTTGGTGGGTCACAACACGGTGGGCCACAAGACGGTGCACCCTCCGCATAGGAGAAGAATGGTCACGGATCGCTTGACAGAGTATTTCAAGATCGAGTTGTGTTGAATCGTGCCGTGGAATGGCCACGAAGATCGCCATACCTCACTCCACTTGACTTCTTTCTCTGGGGCTATCTAAAGAGCAAGGTTTATCAAATGCCCCCAGAAAATCTTCATGAGCTTGAGCTACAAATTCAGCATGAGATGAATATCTTAAGACAAGATAGAGCACTGGTAAGACGTGCTGTTTTTGACAGCAAAAGGTTGTAACTGTAAGGGTTGACATTGACTAGCACATAATAGTACACATTTGCTAAATGTAACTTAGTCCTTTGTTGTCCTTTTGTTTAATAAATCAAACAACAACTATTTTGCTTAATATATCCACATGGAAAACAGGGGGTGGACTTTAAATGTAATGGCCCATCATCAATGTTCTCCGAAAGTGGGTGGGGGACTAGGGAAAGTATATACTGTAAAGTAATTAAGGGGGTCTGGGCCATAATTTATTAGATGACAATTTTCAGCAAAATTTACAAATCTAACTTAACATTATTGAGCTCCCCCCCCTCCGGTTTGTACATACGCCCATGAAATGCAATGTTAAGAAATCATGTTTGAAACCAGATTTTATGCCAGCAAAATTTTCGTATAAAAGCAGGCTGGTGAAATCCATTTTCACGATAGACATATTAGTCGACGAGGGAGAAATAGGACAGTATGATCCATATCTGTGAACTGTATATTTGTTTAGAATAATTAATCAATAAATTATTGTGTTTGCTTACCTTGTCTTTTCGATATGGTATCTGATTAATATTCGTACATGAGGGGCCTTTATTTGATACCAAAACATCGCACGTTGCGTACGGCAGATTAAAATGTGATGCACATGCTTTTTTAAGATTTAGCAGTGTGAGTTCTTTATATTCAAATGAGACGAACTCACGTGGTTGAATTGGCTTGTACGTCTGTTTGTTGTCTGGCTCGGATGAGAGCTTTTGGACGATTATTTCAGATGGCGCATTAGGCGTTTTATCGCTTGCTTTCTGTCCAGCTTTTGTGGTTCGCTTCGCTGACATTCTTTGTGCCAGGTCATCCCAAACTGCTTTTCTTTTAGGTGGCATTTTGAATGAATTACGTAAAGAAACACAATATCATAGAGTAAGTAAGAATATACTTCATCTGTGACGATATGAAGGCTCGGTCACTCAGCTACCACTGGCCGAAGTGCATCATGGTCTATGAGAACGATGGGCTTTTTAACAACATTTGATTTTGATTTTTGAAACGAAAGTCGTATATAACTTGCTTTTTCTAAATCAAATGAGAACGTTGGGCTTTTTTCACAATTTGAAAGTTGAATTTCATTTTCATTTTGAAATGAAAATCGCATGTTGGTTTTTATTTTTAATTTTAATTCTTCAACAATTTTTTTTTTAATTTTATATTTTTATTATGTTTTTTTTTTAATTTAATAAATACTTTTTTTTGTTTTTTTATTTTATATTTTTATTATGTTTTTTTTAATTTCATAAATTTTTTAAAATATTTTTTATTTTATATTTTTATTATGTTTTTTTTAATTTCATAAATTTTTTAAAATATTTATATTTTTATTATGTTTTTTTTAATTTCATAAATTTTTTAAAATATTTTTTATTTTATATTTTATTATGTTTTTTTTAATTTCATAAATTTTTTAAAATATTTTTTATTTTATATTTTATTATGTTTTTTTTAATTTCATAAATTTTTTAAAATATTTTTTATTTTATATTTTATTATGTTTTTTTTAATTTCATAAATTTTTTAAAATATTTTTTATTTTATATTTTATTATGTTTTTTTTAATTTCATAAATTTTTTAAAATATTTTTTATTTTATATTTTATTATGTTTTTTTTAATTTCATGAATTTTTTAAAATATTTTTTATTTTATATTTTATTATGTTTTTTTTAATTTCATAAATTCTTCTTTTTTTTGTTTTTTTATATATATTTATGTTGAATATACGATGAGAACGATGGGCCACCATACTATAGGCTTTGTACTCGCAGATCGCAAGCACATAACATGACATAATATCAAATGACAGTTTAGACATAGTGACACAAAATTTACTGTATGATTCCTCCGCAAATAATATAGCGAGAATGGCAAATGCATTTTAGAACATAACACAACAGAAATATATAATGTAACGTCCATTTTTGGTAACTTGGTTTTAGTTCACTATTAGCGCAAACGGTAAGCTTGGAAAATCATGATTTTCGCCAAAACAAACAGTATCGACCCAATGCAAATTCCATTGCAATTTAATACGATGTTTATTATTGTTGCGCAAATAGCAACCTAGCTCATTTTAAATATTAACGCAAACTGCACAGGCAAACTGCAAACTTTCATAATCAATATTTTCGAAAAAACTAACCATGAATCTACCGCGACAACCAATAAAATTTTACACAATTTTATTTTAAATACATATTGCGACGATGACAACAACGACTAAGGATTATATGAACTACACCCTCAACCACCACTAAATTCTAGATACATGGTGATATTAATTTATAATACATTTTAAAGGAATAAATAGCTAAATGCTGACGTAAAAGGAACATCATACTGTAATTCCTCACATGTACAGGCTGCTCACCACATATTTTTCATACGTACGTGGTGCGTCGTACGTGCATGTAGGAACGGAAAAGTTAAAACTAATTTATACATCAACGAATACACTTCAATTCATGCACAAAACTAGATGCTGTTCTTTCATTCATTTAGTTAGCTATTTCATAGTTCCCGCAGACTGTTTCTTTGTTTTGGACGAATTTATTCATTGTGTCTGCGCTACTTTCAAAATGCGAACTCCAAAATGGCCGCCGCTACTGTGAAAAGTGTCAACCAATAACGAGTAAGCCACTAAAATACAGTACGCAAAAGTAAGTTTAACTCACCGTTAAGAACGTGCGGATTGATCTATTCCATTTCTACATAGAAACCATTCGCTTTACACAGCGTGTAGACTATTATTATTGTCTTGGACATAAAATAATTTCAAGGTCCTCTTCATTTCTCGGTTTTCTGCGAATTAGGGAATTGATTCAACGACGCACTTCCGTACTGGCAAATAGGCAGCTTTAGCAAACGCGACGCAACACCTCGTTTACTTCCGGTTCGAATCTATCTTTTTCGAAGCAAATTTCTTGTTTTCTATTCGCCGCTTGCATATTTCATTATCGTTTTCAATTACTTGTCAAGGTAATTTGCAAGAAAATGCTTTATTATGGTGAATATTAAGATTTTGTTAGCATCTCACTCGATTGAATAATAGTAGAATGGTATTGTGGACGGAAATTATCCAGTGGAAATTTATATACATTTATTAGACCTTAATCAAGAATAGATGCGAAAAATACAACTTTGTAAATTTCCACTTGATAATTTCCATCTACAATACCGTTCTAATAAAATACAATACAATGGAAACTGTATTGTATTTTATTAGAATACTCAGTGGTTACCGAAAATATTAATATCGTTCTATTTATTCAATCGAGTGAGATGCCAACAAATGTTGATATTTACACATACCTGAACATGGCGGTACCCTAGTATATATACATCAACTTGTGGTTAGAGCTCGACTACTGGCCTACTGTAGCTCAGTTGGTTAGAGCGCTGCACCGGAATCCGCAGGGCCGCAAGTTCGATTCCTGCCAGGAAATTTGGGAAAACTAAGGAATGTTCGGAGCTTTTTGCAAGGAATTCGCAAATTTGGTCCAAATAGTTGTCAATTTTCGTGGGCACATGACAAAACTTTTCTTCAAAATGTGAACAAATTTTGAAATAAATTTAAAATTCCAGGTTTAAAACATGGCAAATGATGAACTAATGATAGATTTTTAAAAACTACAAGGAAATACACGCACCTTTTCACACGGCGAAGCGAGAATTATTGGTTTTGACACGGAAGAAACAAGCAACGCAAGCATAACAGTTGCATGAACTATATTTTAAAACTGGGTTTCATATAAAAGGCCAAGTATTTGTATTTCAATTTTTCTTTCGAATTCCTACCCAATTGGAGATCAAAAGGTGGTATTTCTAAAGCCAATCTTGCATCCTGCGGTTGATCGAGGAAATATTGAAGTGCTAGGTAATGATATATTTTCTTGCTTTCCAGTCAAAACGTCCCCAGGTGTCAAAACGTCCCCAGGTTAAAACGTCCCCACTTTAAAACGTCCCCAGTTTAAAACGTCCCCAACTCAAGTCAAAATGTCCTCATGTCAAAATATCCCAAATAAAGTCAAATCTTATTACTTATTTTTATTTCTCAAGGATTTATACAAAAGGTTAATTTAATTTAATTTGCAACGTTTCGGACATTTTAAATGTCCGTCTTCAGGCGACAATTGTTGTTAATGTTATACTATATTAATATTATATTATATTATATTACAGATATAACATTAACAACAATTATCGTCGCCTGAAGACGGACATTTAAAATGTCCGAAACGTTGCAAATTAAATTAAATTAACCTTTTGTATAAATCCTTGAGAAATAAAAATAAGTAATAAGTTATGAACAACAAAGGTGAAAGTTTTAGAAACAAGATTAAGTCAAATCTGTTGGCTAAATTTCAGATACTCTGTCAGTTTTAAAGTAATTTTAAACTATTTTCACATATAATATTTTTGGATTTTTTCTGATCTGATCAAGGAACTAAATCAACCACGCTTTGATATATTCAACCAGGGTCAGATAGTTATGATTTTATTACGTGAATATGTTGTTTAGTGGCTAAATTTCATATATTGGTGATTTGGTGAACATTTAGGTGATTTAAAACAAGCTCACTAATATTAGAATGTATAGTGATACATGTAGTCTTTAAAGTGATACATTGCACTCCTTGCAATTTATTTGAACACAAGAGTTAGGGGTTTTTGACCTGGGGACGTTTAGGCCTGGGGACGTTTTGACTGCAGAGACTTGCTAGCAGTTTTGTGGACGTTATACTGATAAAAAATAATCGAAATTAAAATAGATTCAGTCCCAAAAAAACACAAGAGCTTGTGTAGAAATACTAAAACAATTATTCTCTCAGGCTCGGTGATTATCGGGGAATATTCACATCGACTTCGTCTCGGCGAATATTCCCCGATAATCACCTCGCCTTCGGCGAACAATTGTTAAATCTATGTAAAATAACATGATATTGCTTATCATGTATCACAATGGACAGAAGAAGTGGTTGTACATGTAACTATTTTGAGCGCCGAGGGCGCTAGCCATCTATAGAGCTCTGGGGGCTTGCTCCACGGCCTGGAATAAAGTATATATGCATTGCTTGCTAGACGTATACAGCTATTTCAACTGAGATTGTCCACGAGCAAAGCGGAAAAGTCGAAAACGAGCGCGAAGGGCTGCTGGGAATCGCTTTGAAAATTTATTAATTTGTTAACGACTCCCAGCAGCTTTTCGCGCTCGTATTCGACTTTTCCGCTTTGCTCGCATGGACAACCTTAATTGAATTAGCTGTATGCTGTATAAGACATTTAAGCGAGTAGTATGATTTTCGTAGCCGATTTTAAAATTTTAATGCTAAAACATGAGGAATATGCGCATATTTATGCTAATAGCTACTATTTTGCCAACTTCAAAATTCATTAACTCAAAACCTTTTTGAAAATTTTGCATTTTTAGTCCAACATAGTAATTTACTCGCCAAAAATTTAAATTCTCAAATTTTCGGCTATCAAGCGAATCTCGTACCAAGAGCAATACGGCTCCGGTTACGAGAATTCTATCAAGCCAAAATCACAGCTTCCAACATATATGATCTTGTTCACCAACGTTTCGGCTATAAGGAAATGCCAGATGGCAGCTTGTAACAAATAAATGCCACCAGAGTGTGACTTTCAGAGAGTTGGCCGGTCCTTTAATATACATCCGGATGAAGAAGGTTCAAAGAAAACCGACTCAACAAACACACGTCTTTTTCAAATTCGTAGATAATTATAACTATGTCAAAAAATTCAATTCATTTAATTGTCCAATATTATTACAAAGCATCTGTTGAAAGACAGGGTAAAACATGACTCATTTGCACTGGCTGAAATAAGTGGGCAAATTACATCATGCATGTTCTCTACCAGAAATTCTGATGTTAATTGGTTGTTACAAATCACTAATTAATCGTGTTCTTTTATAACTTATTTATTCGTCCCACCAGTGTTACTATTGACATATCGCTACTACAACGTGTTATTTTGTTCTTGTTTCAAGAATTTTTGCTCTGTAACTCGAGTGATGATTGGCAAACTTTCTTTAGACTTCGTATAAATTCCAGTTGGTCATAACTCTCGCTTGTAGATTGGCTCTTCTGTCCAAAAAGTTTTAACCTGATATCAAGTGCCTGTTCGCATGACTCCACAGCAGAATCATAATCTTGCATTTCGCACTGACATTATGCAATGCTAAAGTAGCTGTCAGCGACGGTTGGGTGTTCCTTTCCATAGAGCGCCACCCTAACATCCAAGACTTGCTGAAGCCAATGCAGAGCTGAATCGTACTCTTTCAAGCAATACTTTGTCGCTCCAATCTGATGACAAGCGAAGGAAACGTCTGTGTGGACTTTCCCATGAAGATTTTGTGTGATATCAAGTGCTTGCTCGAACGATTGCAGTGCTGACTTGTAATTTTTTTTCTCAAGTTGGGTAAGTCCAATCTGGTAATAGCTGTTGCCGGTATCTGCATGGTTGTGCCCATAAAGCTTTAGTCTGATATCAAGTGCCTGTTGATATGACTCCAAAGCAGAATCATAATCTTCCATGCTGTACTGACAATTTGCAATCCTGAAGTAGCTTGTAGCGGAGTCTGGGTGTTCCTTTCCATACAGCTTTAGTCTGATATCTAGTGCTTGCTCGAACGATTGCAGTGCTGACTTGTAATTGTTTTTCTCAAGTTGGGTAAGTCCAATCTGGTAATAGCTGTTGCCGGTATCTGCATGGTTGTGCCCATAAAGCTTTAGTCTGATAGCAAGTGCCTGTTGATATGACTCCAAAGCAGAATCATAATCTTCCATTTTGTACTGACAATTTCCAATCCTGAAGTAGCTTGTAGCGGAGTCTGGGTGTTCCTTTCCATACAGCTTTAGTCTGATATCTAGTGCTTGCTCGAACGATTGCAGTGCTGACTTGTAATTGTTTTTCTCAAGTTGGGTAAGTCCAATCTGGTAATAGCTGTTGCCGGTATCTGCATGGTTGTGCCCATAAAGCTTTAGTCTGATAGCAAGTGCCTGTTGATATGACTCCAAAGCAGAATCATAATCTTCCATTTTGTACTGACAATTTCCAATCCTGAAGTAGCTTGTAGCGGAGTCTGGGTGTTCCTTTCCATACAGCTTTAGTCTGATATCTAGTGCTTGCTCGAACGATTGCAGTGCTGACTTGTAATTGTTTTTCTCAAGTTGGGTAAGTCCAATCTGGTAATAGCTGTTGCCGGTATCTGCATGGTTGTGCCCATAAAGCTTTAGTCTGATAGCAAGTGCCTGTTGATATGACTCCAAAGCAGAATCATAATCTTCCATTTTGTACTGACAATTTCCAATCCTGAAGTAGCTTGTAGCGGAGTCTGGGTGTTCCTTTCCATACAGCTTTAGTCTGATATCTAGTGCTTGCTCGAACGATTGCAGTGCTGACTTGTAATCTTTTCTCTCAAAATGGGCTCTTCCAATGTGGCAATAGCTGTTGGCGGTATCTGCATGGTTGTGCCCATAAAGCTTTAGTCTTATATCAAGTGCTTGCTCGAACGATTGCAGTGCTGACTTGTAATTTTTTTTCTCACGTTGGGTTCTTCCAATCTGGTCATAGCTGTCGGCGGTATCTGCATGGTTGTGCCCATAAAGCTTTAGTCTGATGTCTAGTGTTTCGTAATGACATGTCAAAGCGGCGTCATAATCGTTCTGCCTCAGGAGAATTTTTCCAATGTTATAGTAGTACCTTGCGGCTGTATCCGAGTTTAGCCGACCATATTCTCTTATAAAATTATCAAGAGCGAACTGCATCGCTGCTGGACTCTCTTGCTCCATTTTTACTTTTGCCAGGGTGTTTTCAACGATGAAGAGTAGTGACAAGTATAGACGGTCGTTGTGTGCTTCGTGTTCGATTTTTTTCTTTAACTGCGAGATTGGTAAACCAAGTTTATAGATTACCTCCTCCATGTCATTGTTTTTTGCAATGTGGTATATGAGAAGTGTAAGCGCCAAAATGAGTGGTTGACTTAAAGCTTTTGAGTTTTCATTCTCTTTCTCGTCAGCACAATCGCCTTCTTGTATAGCTTTGACGAAAGCATGCAAGGTTGGTTTATCAGCGCATTCAGTTAAAACAATGTTCCAATAGTAGGAAGACTTTTCTGCGTGAAGAGCAATCAAAGCAAGAATCTGGGAGCATAAAACCTTAAGTACAGTATTTTCAGAACTCAAAAGAGATATCCCTGTTTCAAGAATTTCACCTCCATTCGCTTCCACTTTACATATTAGCATGTGAATACCAAGGTAGCACATTCGTTTTCCCATGAAAACTTCTGAAATAAGAAGAGGATTTTGCTTCTCTATTTCTTCGGCCTCTTTCAGTAATGCCAATGTAGCTCCATTATACCAGGTTATCTCAGCGACAGCTTTAGCAATCAGCAATTGGTGTACAGCTTTAAATTTACGCTGCTCTTTTGCCTTGGCTATTGCTGAATCATAAATATTGTCAAACATCCAGCCACATTCAAAGTAGAAAATGGTATCCAAAAACAAATCAGCATCAGAAAGAACATCGAAAAGTGCGTCGAGGAGAGCTTTGTTTTGAAGACCTTCGGAGAGGCTATGTACCATATTTTCTTTGTTAAATTCAAAATCGTGGAATGCAAGGAGAGAATCTCCAGCAAGAAACTGGCTGTTTAAATCTTCAAACAACTGGACGTAATATCTTAGGAATCGCCGTTCTGCTTCGTAAGCAATTTCTGTCATGCCAGCTGCTCTTTCGGAACTAAATGACTTGATCAGAGGGTGAAAAGAAAACAGTCCTGGTTCGGAGGAATTTCCTTCAACCAAATATTTTCTCTTGAGCCTCAACAAAGTTTTCTTTGCTGTGTCTTCATCTCCTCCAATGACGTTTACTGCAGCTTGCTCGTCGAACACTTCACTGACAAAAACTGAAAGACAAACAAATGCTTCTTGCTGTTCTCGAGATAGTCTTTTGAAATAAGACTCGAACAAGACATTCAAACGTTGATCATTAGGCGCATCTGGATCGTCTAACAACTTTACTACCGGTTTTGATGAACGGCTAAAGTGGTCAAGGAATTGAGATATACTCTTCTTCTCGTCAACGATTTGACCGCACAAAAGCTTGATGGCCAGTGGAACGTCTCCACAAACCTCAGCCACTCTGCAGCATTCACTTTCATCAGCAGCGGGGAAAAGTTTTTGAACAAGCATTTGTGCCGATTTCCTGTCTAGCGATGCAACACGGACGGACACGTGAGCGCCAAATTTTCTTCCCAGCACCGATTGAAGGCTCGTTCTTGTGGACAACAGAAAGGATACATTCTTGCAATGAGAAAAGATCTTTTCGAGCTGGTCTAAAACATCTTGGCTCGTTTCACCACTACTCGCAAAAAGGTCATCGGCGTTATCGAGGATGATACAAATGTTGGAAGGAATTGCACTGAGGAGTCCGTACAGTTTTGGACGCTCTCGCGTCGTTACATCAGACGTATGTGCAAAGGTGTTTAACAGGTCAGAGATCAGCTCTTCCATTGTCTTGATGCTTCTCAAGGAAAGGAAATAAACTGGTAGTCCTAGCTGTCTGAGTTGGTGTCCTACTGCAATTGCCAACGAGGTTTTGCCAAAACTAGGGGGTCCAGATACAGAGACTAGCCGAGCAGGTGTGGACGTCAACACACGCGAGATTTCTTCACATTCTTGTTGTCGACCAATGAAATAGGGCACCATGGGAGGAAGACAGGGCTTGGGCAAGGACTTGTCAAACACTGTGGTGAAATATAAAAAATATGGTTAAACTGCAGGCGTTATCTTCTAGTAGACTTAGAGGAAAATAGCTTAAAGCAACGTAGCACCTGATTGCTTTTGGAAGTTACAAAAAGTGTCGTTTTACCCATTACGGGGTGGACAAACAGTACTGCTCAGAAATAACCTAACACTGCGTTCGCTTTCCGAACACGTTCCAAACGCGTTCCGAACGCGGTCGGAACGCGGTTGGAACGCAGTCGGAACACCCGACACGGAATACAGTTCGAGCAGCATGTAATCACAAATAATTTTAAAAAATCGTCTTAATGGCTTTGTTTAGCGTGTTTGTTTCAACTGTATATGTAACCATAAACACACAAATCAAATAGCCGAAAATGCTTCAAATATCGATCGTGTCTTTCAACCCGAGCTAGAAAGGTCTGTGTTGTGCACAGGGTACATTTCAGCAATTTAACAACATGGAATGAAAATAGTTCCGACTAAAACTCAGCCAGCTCAAACTGCTCACGGGCAATCAAATAGATCGCTATCAAACGTGCTGAACCAAGTGTATCATGTAGGATACTTGCTACAGTTTATTTTAAATTGCCGCCGCTTGTGTAATTTGTTTTACTCATAACTAAGCCATTACACATGATTATAAAGTATAAACATTTACAATTAGTCAAAATACTAGTGACTGTGACATTTTTGACTGCCCAACATCTCGGGTCGATTCTATAATAAGTGCACGCTTGCAATATACATTTACTAACAATCGTACCAACTTATGGTGATGTTTCCTTACTGTGGCACGCGAATACAAGCATATCAGCAATAAACATCGCGGGCGGTACATCACCCATTATACTGTATACATACAAGTTCTAGTGTTTTGAGCTCGACAACTGAACTCTGTAACTCAGTTGGTTAGAGCGCTGTACCGGAATCGCAAGGCCGCAGGTTCAAGTCTAGCATGCGACACTGTCGCTTCTAATAAATTTTTGCATATAGCGTTCGCCCTCAAACGCTCGCTTTTCATTGGCCATAGCTCTAATGACATGTCAATCAACAGTAACATCAATAGTTAAAACGGTCAGCAGTGACGGCGGTCAGCAACGACAAGGCGTTCGAGGAGTGTCTAAGTGCATGTACTAAATATTCTCGAAGTACAGAATTGTAACAATATCGTGATAACTCACTCCACTGTAAAATAGTATGGTAGACATCCTATACGCGAGTGCAGATATTCTAGGATTTCTGCACCGAATAAGTGTTGATGTTGCGAAAGTATAAGATAGCGTTAATTCCTCGCTCATTTTCATTACCTGCAATTTTCGAAGTTGCAAGCGCTCATCGATAAAGTGTTTAGTATTGGACAATAAACCTTAATCTTCCTATATACAATAGTGTTTGAGAATACAGGGAATTGATCAGGTTTGATGAATTTCAAACAGCTGTCCGACTTGCAGAAGGCTTTGAATTCCCGGTTAATTTTTCGCTCAAAGCATATTGATTAGTTCCCTCGAGAAAAACTCATTGCGAAAAATGCATTTGCTCTAACTATAAAATTGCTTTTAACAAAAACTGATGTTTGCCATCCCTGTATTAATTTATTGAAGTCGACATATATCGCAAGACACGTGCGTGATTGACATTTCGCAGGAGGAAAACAACAAAATTCTGCTCTGATATGATTGGTCAATCGACAAAGCAAATTTGATTTTATTGTAAGGGCGGCACGAAAATTTATTAGAAGCAACTGCAGGCTTTTCGTTCCCCTAACCAGAGCCTGCCTCGCAGGCTAGTTCAATTCCTGGCAGAAGGCCTATACAGTAGTTGTATTTTTCGCAGCTGTTCCTGGTTAAACATAAAATTGTATATAATCTTCCGCTCAAAATTTCCATCTACAAAAAAACCATCAACTGTTAGTCCTATCGACCGACAGATGATATCTCAAGCTGTGTTATAATTACGTAATCATAGAATTTGGTAAAAAATTAGAACGTCATGTGGCACACGTGCGGTTTTTTGATTGGACAATTTAAAGTTGAGGTATAATATATTACATGTATATATAAAATAGTTTTTTTTATTAATTTTGCGTCACTAATGAAAGTAGTAATCTCACTTGTGCGATTACTTATGACAGTTGCACATGTGATGATTATCGCTGAATTCAGTTGAACATGTGATGATTATTGCCGAGCCACACCAGACGCGATGCTACAACGCGGCGCGACTTTTCAGTTTTTGAAAGTTGTTTTGAAAGGCAATTTTAAAACATATGTGTACCAAATCATTCAAAATGTTATATTCCTGGTTAATAATCCACCTAACATGATCTCGTTAGTTTAACCATATAGCCTGGTTAAATGAACCAGGAATCCTGTTTAGATTAGCCACAATGGCTGTGAGAATGGTGGCAAACAACCAGTACTGGGGTTAAATTAACTAGGAAATTTATCAAGGAACAGTAAGTTACTCTAAACACCATTAATTTTAGACTAACAAGAAAAATTTTAGTCCAGGTGTTTTTGCGCGTATTATTCTCCATATATTTGGTAACCGTGTACATACCTTGAACTTCGTCTGGAATATAAAATCTCTTCAGCACATGTTGAATGTAAGAAGCTGAAACTGCAGAACCAAATTGACACCAAGTCAAATTTTGACATACATCATTTTCCCACTTTGCGATAGATTTACAGGACAGCCACGGCACTCGAGAGTTCTGACATGTTGCATATACCCCTAAAAACGATAAAACTGAGGTTATCTTTGATATTTGAGGGAAACATCGGAACTCAAAGACATTCATGTCTTACACACGATAGCGTTATCCGAAGGTGACATGTTTCTGTTAACTTTCTGACGAGCTTTAACTCACCTCTAGCCTCTGATTAGGGCGTCTAATTGTCATTAGAAACTTACAGATTCGATCCCTGTATAGGTACTGGCATTCCAAGCTTACAAGTTGATGGAATGGCAGCCATCTTGAGTATTTAAATATATGCGCTTTTGAATAGTGTAAATAACGCGTGTGTGGCGAAATATTTATAATACTGCGAGTGCGTAGCACAAGAGTAATTTCTGACATCAATTTTCGATTCAAACCTATAAAAACTGTAAATAATCTTTATTTCTTCTTTATCTAATTCTGTATTTGAGCGTAAATAAAAGCTCAGACAATAATATCAATTTTCACGTTGTTTATTTAGAGTTTGTGTTTAAAATTACTGCACTCACGTGACCGTGCGGAATGGACGCGTGCTCGTATACGTCCCGATAAATCTTTAATCGATACAGTTTTTAACCAATAGAGACGAATAAATTGACTAAAATGATATTAGTTATGAAATTGGTAGGGCCTGACTATTTAATTATTCTTACTGCACAACCGTTTTCTCCTCGGATCTGGAGGATTTAGAAAATTTACCCGGGACGACGCTTCTAACTGACAATATACCAGTTTTCCAATAGGAAATCAATCCGATCGCTCGCATTAGTATACCTACGTTTTGACGCTTTGTCTACTCCAATTGTTCCCGCTTTGAGCAAATCCCTCTTTTTGTCGTCACCATCTTGTAAACCTGTCATAAACTGACCAATATGGACTTTTGGAACTACAACATTTTCACAAGGACCAACCCATGCAAATTTCCCACGGTCGAACAAATGCACCAATCCCAAATTGCAGTCATACGTTGTACGATCAAAATTTGACAAATCTTCATCCTGTTGCTCAAGAAAGTGAACTTGTGATGACACTACGACATCACCAAGGAAGTGTGCTTCTTTCCTTACACCATCGCAAACTCCCAGAGTAACAATAGCTTTCGGTTTAAGTTCTTGGATTGTTTCATAAACCAGAACGTCATGACCTGACGAAGTGCGGGTGTTGCCGAAGTGTGGAACTTTCAAGAGCGTCACTTTATTGCTACCGATTTCTCCAAAGCAACGGTTTTTGTCACTTTCGTCTTTCTTGCTGGGTATTTCGACATTGTCTAATATTTTTTGCGCTTCGTTAAACTCCGTGTCGTCCACTGTGAGCAAAAGAACATCGTTAAAATCTTTGAATTCGGAGTCCGCCGTCGTGGTGCATTGAACTAAACAAATGAACATGCGGACAAATAAAGAAACTAACAACGAAAAATAAGATTGGCAGACGGACGGGCCGAGACAGAAGCATCTGCAAAGTGAAACCATGCACATAATGCACGTTGGCGGTTCCTGGGAATCGATCCCGCTAGTCAACTAATGATCGCAGGTCTAGACGGTGCCGGGGGTAGTAGGAGTTCGTTACTATAGCAACACGCGCTTACGAAATTCACTCTACAATAGCCTATTGGTTTGTGTGTTTGGGAAGGAAGCACAGTGATCCCCAATTTTTTTCTTGGAATATTTTACTTACAACATAGTCTATTACAGTACTATAAGCAATATACAAAAAATATGCGATACCATTTAAAAAAAAAAACAGCCCAAAATTCTCGTTTTTTCGAAAAATTTTTTTTGCATTACAGATGTTTTATTTTTTGTATATTGAAAGACTTTTGCAGTACAATACAGCTACCTCCTCCTCCTCATGCCATACAACCCGTAATCAGTATGCCCGTTCGCAGGTTAAAATTTGAAATCTGAGACGAAGCTGCTGTAAGGCCTGCTGAATAACATGTCGATTTTTTGGCTTATAGTGTCGATTACTCGGTTGGATCAAATTTCTTCAAAAATATGGCACATCGTCTGCCAATCCTGTTTTGCGAGTATTTTCTAAATATATCTTGGCAGTTATGGCCGAAAAAGGCGACGAGGAGATTCAAATATTGGAGGGTTTTACAAGCACAAGCGACAGTGATAATAGACGTCGTGAATCTATCATTTGGCCAAATTGGATGTCTTGACTATATACACACGCATTTAAATAGTTACACTGTATAAAAGACAAATATAAATGGAATAAATTTCGTGTGGATAAACGGCCGCATGCCTGACATACGACGTGTTACATAAAAGCGCTGCGTGTTTGTAATATGCAAATTACAAACTGATATTTATGTGTTTCTCTTTTATAAATCATTGTATGCTTGTTTGTTCAGTATTCACTGTTTTTATGTATATTGCGGATACGAAAAGCGGTCTAATCAGAAGTAGTTAAAGACTTAATTATAGTAATAATTAATATTGTTCTGGTAAAATAATTCGGTTTGTGGCTCCCGCCATTTTGGAAAATTAGTCCGCAGGTCTTTCCGTTCGTTTCCCACCAATTTTATATTTTCGAAAGGCCTGCGGAGGAGGTAGACAATACAGCGTGCAAAATTTCAACATACGTCACCGCACGAAATAATTAATGAGTGAGCAATTGACATGGAACGCGTTATAACCACATACAATGGACGACTTGCGCTTTAGAAACATTTTTAATCTGGGAATAACAATGGATATTTTCGGAAAGAAGTTATCAAAATTAGAAAAACTGCAAAGTTTGGTGGCGAAATGTTGTAAAATACGGAAAATATAGCCCTGCGAAGTTGGCAAATTTGTATACATTTCTATTACGTGCGGAAATTGGTAACTAATTTAGTTACCAATTCACGCACGTAATACAAAAGTATACAAATTTGCCAACTTTGAAGGGCTATATTTTCCGTATTTTACAACATTTCGCAACCAAACTTTGTAATATCATTAATTCCAAGACGCTCTTTCTAGATGTCGTGATAGATTTCGTTGTTCTCACTTAGATTAAAATTTAGTCTAAAGCGCAAGTCGTTCATTGCGCGAGATGACGTGAGCATGCAAGTCTCCACGTCAGGTCATATATATGTTGGGCCTATTCATTAATATGAGGATTTGTTCATATAGCGTAACGTTTTGTTTTTGTGATTCTTGTATAAGGGATTTTGTGTGTATTAATATATCCAACCACCTTAAAGGACAATGACCATTTGGGGTTCCAGGGATAAATTATACATGGGCGATGATCCTAAATCGATATGTGATGAAGAAAGCGGCATACAGTATTATTATATAGACAACTACCTTACTACCGAACAAAAAGGGACCATTCATTATTTATGACCGGGGATGGCCTGGAAAATTCAATTAACAAATAAACAAAATGATTTCCCCCCACCCCTGCATCACAAAAAAATTCAATGACCCCCTTCACGTGAATTCTAAAAAATAGTAACCCCCCACAACCACCACCACAACCACCGCCGATGTATACATAGACACATGACCAGGCATCAGATCTACATTTTCTTGTGCTTTAACAATATAACTATTTAATCAGAACAAACTCTGCTAATCCAAACTTTAGACTGGCCAGAAGTATTTTGATAAAAAAATGCTGGTTTAAAAATTAGAATTCAGTTTCCGTGTATTTTCTACACTACAAAGTACTATACATTATGTGCTTACTAAATTAAACCATGTATATACTATAGTATACGCCAAACTCGCTCTGGACGTAATGTTGCCACATTGCTCACTCGTTATCGTGACTGTTTTTTTTATTAAAATGTACATCAGGGAAACATGACAAAAATTTATGGCAAGTTCATAGCAAAAGTTATAAGGTAGATGTTCGATTGTTTTTCATATAAGCTGATTAAAACTGATTGATTAAAACTGAGAATTTTGCCAGCTACATGAATTAAATTTGCTGCCTTGCTCGCTCCCTGAGGTAGCAATAATCGTTACGTTACATGTCAAATTTCCCCCACTATAATAAAATAACTGGACCCCCCTTCTGAGCCAATATTTTTAGGTGACCCCCCTTTTTTGGTCAAAAATAAGTAATAAATGGTCCCTAAGCCATTCCACATTCTGAATTGGCTCTCTACTAGCAGGATATTAGCTTTCAGTATTTTTGTACGAGTGAATATACCAATTCTACAAGTTGACTGGTCAAATTTGACGTATTAATAACGTCTTATTAACCGAACGCGAGGTCTGTAGACTCTGTATAGAGAAATATCGGACCGAGGACTTTTTTGTACAGACCGAGCCCGTAGGGTAAGGTTTGTACAAAAAGGCCAGTGGCGTAGCCAGGATTTCTGGCCAAGGGGCGCAAAAAATTCAGGGGGGGGCACTTCAAACAAAATGAAAACTGAAAAGAAGAAAACAAAGTACGTACACATAGGCACACCCAATTAGTTTTGTTTAATTGTAAAACTGCAAATACAACAAACGTTAAATTGAATACCAAAGGTATAACAACGCTATATAAGGAATAAAATATTCACACTGAGCCACACGTTAACCAGTGCCGTAAGAAACTCTTATATAGTGATTGGGGGAGCTGAAAGCGAGGGCCGAAAGCCCGAGGAAAATTTTAAATTTAGAGTCTGAAATGCCATTTCCTGAACTTTGGGGAAGATTTGACAGAATTCTGATGGTCAGAAAACAATGTTTTAGTACGAAATTTACAATTTAGCAGTACTAACTGGGCGAAGGCGTGTTTAATGAACTATATTTTGGATATGTTGCAGGATAGTATGGGTAATATCTTCATTCTTTGCAGTTTGTCATGGATAATGAGCCACTTATTGTGGGAGAGCCGCAGCCCCTCGCCCCCCCCCCCCCCCTGG